GTCACAGTGGTTGAAAGTTACTGTTTTGTTGAGTTTGCTTGTAGAGGTGGTAAAAGCCTGCCATTGACTTCTCCATTATCTTTCTCTCTTTAGGGATTATGCTTAGGTTATTATGTGTCTTGTTCTGTTAACTTGGGAATGCAGATGACAGAGTTTAAAGCTTTGAAAGAAGAGCTGAGGCTAAGCTTGAGTTTTTAAAGGTGTCAGAATCCAGTAGGGAGTGGAATAAGGCCTGCTGCAAGCCCTCAGGGAGAATGAATAAAAATATTTGGGGATAGGTAGAAGTCTCATGAAGATACAAACATTGGTGAGCAGAGCAGGTAAATTCTTTGACAGACTTCCCTAGTCACTCCGACTCATTTCAAAGGGCAGAGCCAGTCAACTACAAGAGTTTTGATGACTTTATTTCAGCACTGAGGTTGGAACCCAGTTAGGCAGTTCTTACCATTAAACACACACAAGCCCAAGTAAAATTTATTGATACAGTATTCACTAGCTCTTCATCCAAACAAAAGTAATAAAAGAGAAAATAATTGCCCAAATATAGCTGTTCCCTCGTGGAATCTATGGTTTCACTTTCTATGCATTTAGCTGTTGGTCAACTGTGGTCTGAATATATTAAATAGAAAATCCAGAAATAAATGTAAGTTTTAAACTGTATCCCATTCTGCATAGCATGATGAAATCTCATCCAGCCTATTCTGTCCTGTCTGGCACATAAATCCTCCAGTGGGTCCATGCTGTATACTCTGTCCGCTCTTTATTTACACACATCTTTTTTGGTCATGGGATGGAATAGTTCAGTATCACAGTGCTTGTATATAGGATTTGGCATTGTCTTCAATTTCAGGCAGCCATTAGGATGTTGGAAGAATATATAAAGTGAGGAGGAATATCTTGTGTGTTTAACACCCTCAGGTGGAGGTATCCCTAGTTGTACTTGTGGCAGGAAGAAACTAAAGTGCCCTAACTGATAATTGCAGTAGCGGATAAAAATCAAGTCCTGGGGGGATGCACATGTAAATAAGAGTGCTTTTAAAATAAATAAATAAAAACATTAAAAAAGAATAAAAAATAGAAAAAGAAAAAAAGGAAAACAAATTCTGGATTTAAAATTTTTAAACTAAGTTCTGATATGACAAATTAATTTATCAATTTGAAGACAACGTTGCTTGTACAAATTGCTTTAGGAAGGTACTCTTCTTTAGCCCAGTTTCTACCTAGATTGAGTCCTCCCTGCAGAGGACTTGATTTGGTAGTCAAGAACACTTAGTTAAATGCCTGTCTTTATGATCCTCTGACCCCACAATCCCTCTACCCTCTAAGTTCCTGTATAATCAGCCACTCCCTTTCCTGAGTTTTCCTAGCACTTTTGAATACAATTAATTGCTTTTTCTCATTTATTTTTCAGATTGTGCCTTTTATTTGAAGTTTGACATAAGTATTTTTGCATGATATATGGTGTCTATTTTCCAATCATGAAAAAACTGAGAGGGAAGGTTGAAAGCTTGGTGTTTCATCTGTGTGCTTCTCTTTTATTCTGGAGTGCAGCTGATTGATTTATTTTCCTGGAAATATATGTATGGGGCTGAATACCTTAGCAGATAATATGATAATTGCTTATATTAAACAAATCCTTTGATTCATGGGGAGTTAAAAGACCTCATTAAAAATTCTCTTTCTGAGTTTGATTTAGATGGTCAAAAAAACATGACAGATTGGATATAAATCTTAAAATCAGACACTCTTTGTAGTATGAGATTTATGGATCATATTGTGACTGGCTTCCTTTTAGTAGGAATGTCATGATAGGAAGCAATATATAATTATTTTTCTTTAATATATCAAATGCCCAAAGGAAGTAGAGATTAAAAATAAAGGACACATGCTATACAATGCTGGAGTAAGCACATGTATTCTTTTTAGAAATTCCTTAAGAGAACATATTTTTGAATCTTGCAAAGCCAAATGGTTGTGATTAACCTTGAAGTATAAGTATTCAGTACATGAAAGATTCTTGCAATTTGTATAGCCTTAGCATAGCCAATCAAGTTTGGTGTGGAACCATAGTACAACTTGGATGGTTTTCAGAATACCTAGTGGTCATTTTGCTAGTAAAGACAAAGTCACTATGTATTTAAAAATTGACTTGCTCTCTACATAGCATCATGCTGAAATTTGTAAAGCTGAGGCACTTGACATCTATACTTGGGTAATTTTGACTAAAACACCATTCTGCTCACAGTGGCCCACTTCCTAATGGCAAAGTCTTTTTTTCTTTTTCTTTTTGGTGGCTTTGACTGATTAACCTAACTCATCTGAGGTCCTGCAGGCTGTGCAGGCATTTTAGTGTTCTGTGCCTGGACCTGAGTGCTTAGCTCTCATTTTCTTCTTTAGTTCTGTCTGTGCTGATATTTGAGGAAGTCCATGGTTGTATCAATTGCCATCTGCTTCTCTGGACACCCTAGACTGTCTTCTACTGAGTAATATTAGATCATCAAAAAACTGTACTTGGACCCCTTTAGCTGAGACCCTTGCTGAAGTACATGTTACTTTATAGCTATAGTTTTGTCCAAGGTTTATTTTTTTATTTTTAAGGATTTATTTTATTATTTATTCACATATCAGGTTCTCTAGAACTGGAATTACAGACAATTGTGAGCCACCATGTGGGTGCTGGGAATTCCAGGTCCTCTGGAAGAGTACCCAGTGCTCTTATCTGCTGAACCATCCCTCCAGCCATCACAGGTTTATTTTTATATTACTTCTTTTTAAAAGGAGTAATATAAAACTCCATTGTCTGTCTCTGAGAGTATTGCATGTCACATCTTTTTTGCAGCCCATCAATGAAATAAAATGTGAAAAATTTCTTTATGGATGTGAAAACCTTTGCTTTCTTTAATGAAGAATGCCTGTTCATCTTATAAAAAATAAAAGAGGTAGATAATTCACTTGGCATAGAGCCAAATTTTGGATATTAATTTTAGCAGTGTGTCCAGAAAACTGTTGAGTTAATTAAAACATGTCATGTACCCCAGTAGTTAGCAAACTACAGCTCACCTAACACCTGCATTTCTAAAATAAGATGGTACTACAATATAGCCGCAATTACTTCTTTCTTTTTTAATATTTATTTTATTTTTAATTATGGGCATGTGTGTATATCTATATTTGGCTATGTGTGGGTACTGCAGAGGCCAGAAGAAGGTATCAGATCTGCTGGAGTAGTTGTGAGCCAACCAACAAGGGTACTGGGAACTGAACTCAGGTTCTTTGTAAGAGCAGGAAGCATGCTCTTAATTGCTGGGCACCACCAGGTCTGACCTACATTTTCTATAAGAAAAAAATACTTTTTGCCTGTTAGATGGTAACTTCCATGGCCATAGATGCCTTTGTTTTATTTACTTTGTGGCCTAGGCACCTAGAATACTGCCTAAAACAAATGAATGAACCCTTAAAATGTGAGTGTATGTCTTCATAGACACCCCAGCTCCTCGCCCCCCTTCCCTTTCCTGGGTTTCCCAAGGATTCATTTAAGGAATTTAGTTATGTTATGTTATGATATTAAAAGAAGTTTCATAAAGATTGTAATTGACACAATTGGGAAACTGAAGAAATAGTGATTTGCTTAAGGCATTGAGTAGGTTTAGGCAGGGGATGTTTACAATCTTTGAGCAAATTGTGTTGGTACCATGAAATGTCAGATTCAAGGACGAAAAGTTCGACATAGGTTATTCTCATGGAGTTTAACCTTGGAAAATGTGAAGAAAGTAGTTAGAAGTGCTGCAGCTTTAATACAGTGCTTCCGAGTATGAACAGAGAATCAAGTGCCATTATTTGATGGGCTTCTTGCTGGTAGAGTTCTGAGGCCGCCCAGGAGCCATATGGCAAGAGTGTGCTTGAGTCTCTTCTGACTTGTTTCTTATGAAACCACAGAATTCGATGATGTGCCCCATGACTTTATTAACCCAAATCACCTCCTAAAGGCCCCACCTCCAAACACTTGATTTCAGCTGATTTCTCATCCTCTAAAGAGACCACAATTGCAGTTAAATTTCAAAACATGAATCCTTGGGGCACATATTCAAACTATATCCCAAACAGGCACCTAGTGTATTGGCAGTTTTTACATGGTGCTGTACTGATTGATGATGAGATTAAAGCGCCCAGTATTTAAGGAATATAATTGGGTGGGATCAGTGTTACAGAATTGGGTTCTTTATGAAATCCTCCTGTTCTGTTTCCTCCTCTTTTTGAGAGCGGTAGAATTGAGAGGTTTGGGGTAAACATTAAACTTCGGTGTGGATTCCTTGCTTATTCTTTTTAACAGACAAGTAGTTTGTTTTCATGTTCAGGGTTTGAAGTCATAGCTGAACTTCCTGAAGCTTAGCTGCAGTTGGCTTCCTGCTGAGATGAAAGCTTGTATCAAAGGGAGATGTAAGCTTAAACAATTCTGCGACAGTTTGACTCTTGTCTTATTTTACATATATGCATGGATGCCTAAGTGTGCGTATGTGTACCATGTGCATACAGTTGCCTAGGCAATTGTGAGTTGCCATGTGGGTGCTGGGAGTTGAACCCAGGTTCTTTGCATGGGAAACAAGTGCTTTTAACCACTGAGCCCCTCCCTTGTTTTTTTTTTTTTTTAGCTGTCTTTTGTAAGTAAGTTTTGATTCATAAAAGGAATAGCTTTTATTTTAAGTATGTGGCTGGGCTTTGAGATTACAATAATTATTTTTTAAAGGTTCCTTTAGATGAATTCATCTGTCTCAGGATTAACTTGTGGGAAAACATCAAGAGTTTTTGGGCATTTTTAGTTAGTTTATCATGGATATTTTTGAGTGTTGAAGTGATTAATAGCAAAGGTTATGTTAAGAAGTACCTGAAGGGGTTTATTTCCATCATAGTTTTTAAAAATTACTTTCATAGCATTAGAGGAATAATTGGTTTTAACTACAAAGCAATTAGAGGGTTAAATAAATCTTTTGTTTTGATTACAGAAGCTGCTTATATACATGTGGGAGAAGCAAAAATGTCAGATGATATCAAGAAAAGGTTTGATTTTCCAAATTCTCTTATCCAGTCACAGGTAATTTTTATTTATTTTTACTACATGGTAACAAATGAACCCTTTTCTTGGACCATAAATTGAACTTTGTATTTTCATATGAAATATTTTCTTCTACTCATAACTTATTTTATTAAACAACTTTTTCTGAGCTAATAAGTATACTTGAATTAGAAAAACTAATATTTAAAAGTGTTCATTTTCAGCTTCTATTTATTTTGTGTTTTCCCCTAGAAATAATATAATCTTGATTATTAATTTTCTGAATATGGTTATTTTTTGTCTATGTTTAATAATTGTGACCAGTGGTAGATGGCTTTATATATCTCCACAGAGTATGAAGGTTTAATATTTAAAAAGATATATTTTACCTCTCTACAGCTATTAAGAATACTAGTTTTCATAATAATGATATTCAACAATTAAAACATTCTGGATTAATGTAATATATACCTGCTGAGATAGGAAATTGGGGTAATTTAATTTACAGAGCTTTTCAATAATTAAGACAAGTGGTTAAAGTGATGATGGTTTTTCTAGTTAGCTGTTGGCTAAGTAGAAACATTCTGGTACATATAGGAACCATAAGAACTTACTGTCTCCTCTTAAGCATAAAGCTAAACAACCAGCAAAGACTTAACCTGGTCAGTGTTTGGATGCTTTCAGTGGTTGCCTTTGCAGATGCCTGCTGTGGGAATTGACTTAGTTTGGAAGCGGGAACCCTTCCATGAGGAGTAGAACATTCCTTATGCAAGATTCCCTTCTACCTGGCTGGGTTGGATGCATATCCTGTTCTGTGCAGCACAGGCCCTTTCCCTGAAGAAGAGGAGGAAGGTGCTGTCCACAATTTCCACTTTCTGTGCTTGGATAACCTTCATTAGCATAAATCAAAAGGAAATGCTAACATGTGTTACTGTTAAATGAAACAAAAAGTGTATATGCTCTTTTTAGTGTAGATCGTCTATTTCAATCCTGTTATGGAAATGAAGTATCAAGGTAGCATAATGCATCCCACCTGTAGGTATTTCAGAGCCATGTAGCCTAGTTAGGCTGGTATCTCTGATATTTTAAAAGATAAATAGGAAAGCAGATTAGAGAAATAGAATCTTGTTGTGAGTGGGGAGATGTGTAACTTTAAGTTTATACTCTTTTAGTCCTTTTTTTAAAGTATGGATAATAGCTATTTTGTGTGTCTCTGTTGCATTTCGTGTCAGGTCTCAAATTCCTATGAATGTGCCCTGTCCTTATGAGTTACATACCAACTCTTCTTTCTTAACCACTGTTTTGAGATAGAACCACATTCCATTGATTGACACATACTTCTTTCCCATGTTGGGAATTCTATGGCATCTAGCAACTTTCTGACAACAGTTGAACTACAGTGGGTACTGCATACACATTTGTGAACTTGTCCATTATTTTGTAAATGAGACTAGAAGAATTCTCTGATTAACTAAAATCAAAATTTCAAATTATAGGTAGTACTGTATATGGTAGATTAATTAGACCATTTTTTATTCCTTAGTGATGGGTAAAACAATGTTACATCTTTTCAGCTGATGGACAGATAGATACTCAATGACATCTGTGGTATAGTTTGTGAAATAGGAACTCAGGTTTCTGATTGGTCTTCAGTTTTCTTACCTTTTGCTAGGGAGTAATAGACAGCAGATTGAACTACAGCTTGTCGTTATGTAAGTGAGGGATTTCTGTCACAAAACTCAAGCATTAAGGTCTTAAATAATTTGAATATCTGAATGTCTGAAGCATATGTGCACATGTGCGTGAAGGGAGTGGGTGTTATGTAGTTCCTTGAGCTTTTCTAGAGACTTTGTAAAATTGACAGCCGTTTTCAGCACTGTTGTAAGTGGTCCCAAGTGCAGGGTGTACAGTTGTAGTAGTAAAATTTTTCCTAGCTGTGCACAAATGGTGGTGATGGTTGCCAGCCAATTTTCTGTCAGTCAGCAGTGAGTGCTGGTTAGGCCTGAAAAAACTAGGGACCTGATACTGAGGCAGTGGGAGGTAACATTTATGCATTTCTGTAATCAACTCTTCTAGACTCTGATTTTCATTTTGGGCTCTTTGATTAAAGCAGGATGTGGAAATTTTTAGAGATTTGTGAGACTGAAAACTTAATCAAGACCTAAAAGCTATGAGAAAATGGATAAATAAATTAAAATAGGGCCACAAGATGGCTACGTGGGTAAAGACACTTTGCACTAAGCCTGAGAATGATCTGAATTCAATTCTCTGGGCCCACATGGTGGATGGAGAGAACTGACTTCTGTAAGTGGTCTTCTCTGCTCCACATGTGAGCTATAGCATCCACATGTAAATGAATGCAAAAACCTTAGAAGAAATAAAAATAGTAAGGTCTAGAGGAGGGAAAACAAGGTACAGGAGGAGGGAAGTGGTCCTTTCATGCCTATTGGGCTGTATCCATAAAAATAAGGGTGAATTTGTCTCCATTTTCACCAAGTTCATCATGAAACATGGCAGATTGCATTTAGATACAAAGAAAAATAAAGACTGGGAATTTTGTTCATGGTTTAGTTGATTATGTAATTTTAAGTTATCTTTAATATTAGGTGACAAGGATTTGAGCTGAGAGTTGACAGTTTTAGCACCTATGAAGTATGGCCAGTGTATTGCAGATATGGGGTGAATTGCCTACTTTGAAGGTTGTTCTGAAGATTTGGGTTGCACATGTGGAGTAGTGCCTCATCCAGTGCTTTTCACATGGCACACAACTAAAAGGACTTTTGTTTCTTACCAGTTGACAGTTTGGCTTGCCCATACATGCAAATGAGTGTGATGTTGATTGCTTTTAAATGCACTCTTTGAAAAGAACTTCTGAGTGAATGTGTTCATTAATTTTGTTTGTTCTTTTAGGCTGTAGGTCATCTTATTGCTGCTGTCCTAAAAGAACATGGTGTTTCAGAAAAGATACACCAAGCCACAAACCAGGTCTGTGTTTAACTTTGTTTTATGTGTGTGCATCCCACTGGTTAGCTTTTTGTCAAACTGACACAAGCCAGGATCATCTGAGAATAGGGAACCTCAACTGAGAAAATGTACCCGTTAGACTGGCCTGTAGACAACTCTGTGGAGGCATTTGCTTATTAAGGAAAGATGTGGGAGAGCTCAGCTCACCATGGGAGGGGCCACCCCTGGGCAGGTGGTCCCGGGTTGTATAAGAAAGCAGGCTGAGCAAGCCAGGGAAAGTAAACCATAATCAACGTTCTTTCATGGATTCTGCTTCAGTTCCTACTTTGAGTTTGTACTCTGGTTTCTCTTCATGATGGGCTGCAAGCTGTTAGAGAAATAAGTCCCGTCCTTACCTGGTTGTTTCTGACTGCTTATCACAGGAGAAGGGAGTGACTAAGACATCTCCTTGCTTTCATTTTATCTAGAAAGTTCTACCTGCCTGACCAACATGACTTGTTTTTCTTGTAATTCCATTCACTGTGGAGGTAGATGGCCTTGAAGCCTGAGGATTTTGCCTACAGCTCTTGTCCTGCCTCCTTTTCCTTTCTCTTTCTACCCATTCCCTCTCCCTCTCCCTTTATCTTCCATTTCCCACTTCCTCCTCCCTTCTCCTCCCCCCCTTTTCTCTTTGGTGTGTCATGTTTTTGTTCTGTAACATTCTTTTAAACTTGGACATTTGTGACTAACTCCAGGATGACACATGGGAAGGGTGAAGGGGATAGTTTCTGTCACTAGTGGTGGAAAACAGCATAATCAGGATGAGGAAGGGCACACTAGAGAAGGTGACAGAATTACCCCTGCGGGAATGTCTTTAAGCAATAGAGAAAATGAACACAGGAGCTGTGTTTGGGTGTGGGAGATTTCTCATGCTTTGGCTCAGCCCTGAATGTGAGTTCTAAGTTGGAAAGGTTGTGTTGCCAGTAGGAGCTAGAAGAAAGCTTCCCATCCTCACCCAGCATAGGTAAGTTCTCAGAGTTGAATCAGCACCTAAGTGCTGAGACAGATCAGTTGGGCTTTGGCCAGTTGGCATTGTATATTTTGACTTGCTAGATGGGACCTTGCTAAGCACAGGTGCCTGTGTATGAACTGCAGAAATCAGAAATTCCTTTCCTCAACAAAAATCAATTAGTTTTCCTTTCCTTACTTTCTCTTTGAGTATGTATGTGTGTATTTTTTGCATGCACATGTGCCTCTCAGTGTACCTTTGTGTGTGTCTGAGGACAGCTTGTGAGAGTCTGCTTTCTTCTCCTACCATGAGAGTCCTTGGGTTTGAACTCAGGCCGACAGATTAGGCGGTAAGCACTTTTGTTGTCTGAACCCTATTGCTGGCCCCTCATGTTCTTTATGATAGCCACTCTTTATCATCTATCTTTACAGTTCCTGTTGATGTCTGGAAGAAAGAATCCTGGCATGTTTCACTAATTGGCATTTATCTAGTGTTTGTAATTGTCATGTAAATCAGGTTTCCTGAGAGCCCTGATCCCAATTCTGCCTGTAATCACATTATATACTCTGAGAAGATCTAGTGATTTTACTTAAATTGCCAGGATTTATCGAATGTTAAATCCTTTTAACTAAATGTTTCTTCTACTAATAAATGAATGCCTACCTCCACAAGGACACAGTACCATCTTAGGCAAGTTTATTTGTCCATTTATCTTATTTTTTCCGGCTTGATAATGGAATAATGGCATTTAGGACCCTGGGCTATTGTGAAAACAAGTTTTCTTTTGAATATAAGGGGAGACAGAATATAAATATTTCCTTTCTACAGTAGCTGACTTTTAACTCTATTGTTCTTTAATAGTGGGGTCTTAGACTGCAGCAGTTTTCATTAACTAAGAGGAAGTGCAGCACAGTGTTGTTCACTTCAGTGAGAGCTGGAGACTCCGATTTTTCCTTGAATTGTTCCTTCTTTGTAATTTGGTGCATGGTTTGTTTGGTGTGTGATATGGTGTGTATATGTGTATGGTGAGTGGTGTGGTGTGTGTTTGTGTAGTATGTGTGTGTTTGTGTATTTGATGTGGTATGGTATGGTCTGTGTGCGGTGTGTGTTGTAGATATGGCGTAGTGTATGTGTGGTATGTGTTATGTGTATGGTGTGTGTGTGCATTGTGGTGTGGTGCATGTGTAGTGGGTATGATGTAGTATATTTGTGGTGTGTGGTATGTATGTGGTGTGTGTGGGGTGGTATGGTATGTGTATGTATGGTATGGTGTGTTGTATGTGTGTGTGGTATGGTGTGTGTATGTATGGTGTGTTGTGTGTATGCATGGTATTATGTGTGTATGTGTGGCATAGTGTGGTGTGTGTTGTATGTATGTGTGGTGTAGTGTGCATATTTGTGGTGTATATGTGTGTGTAGTATGGTGTTTGTATGTATGGTGTGTTGTGTGTATGCGTGGTATTGTGTGTGTATGTGTGGCATAGTGTGGTGTGTGTTTTATGTGTGTGTGTGTGGTAAGGTAAGGTGTACGTATGTGTGATATGGTGTGGTGTGGTATGTGTATTTGTGGTGTGGTGTGTGTGTGGTATGCGTGGTATATGTGTATGGGTGTGTGTGTGGTGTGGTGTTTTGTGGTTGTATGATGTGGTGTGGAGTGTGTATTTGTGGTGTGGTATGTGTATATGATGTGTATGTGTAATGTGGTGTCAGTGTGTATGTTATGTGTGTGGTATGGTGAGTGGGTGGTGTGGTGTGTGTGTGATGTTTGTGTGTGTGTGTGTATGGTGTGGTGTATGTGTGTGTGGTGTGTGTGTGTGTGTGTGTGTGTGTGTGGTGTGGTATGCACAAATGTGTGCTGGTGTGCCCACCTTTCATGCGAGTGTGGAGACTATAGGAGGAAATTAGGTGTCCAGTCCTATCACTCAGCCTTGCTTCCTTGAGGCAGGATCTCTTAGTAAGCCTGGAGCTTTGGATTCAGTTTGGCTAGGGGCCAGCCAGTCCCAGTGTGCCTGTCTCCTACCATGCTGTGGTTACAGCTGTCATGCTTGTGTTACAAGCCTTCTTGCTCACTGAACCATCTCTACAGCCCCTAATCACATCTATCTAATAAACTACATCAAAAGAAAATAAAAATAACTTCAATTTGAGTTTATCATCATTAATTGTTTTTGTCATTTTTAATTATGTGTGAGTATGAGCAGAGGTCTGGCCTGGAGCTAGTTACATACACCTGCTGGTGGTTTCTGGGAATCGAACTTGGGTTCTCCGGAAGAGCAAGCAGTACATGCCTTTAATCACTGACCCGTCTCTCCAGACCCTTATTATTTAAGTGACAAGGCCATGTGTAGTCTAGGCTAACCTTGAATTTGCTATGTAACTAAGGATGTCCTTGAACTCTTACTTCTATCTTCTAAGCAATGAGATTACTTGTTTGTGTTACCATGACTTTATTTTAATTAAAAAAGAAAAGAGTAACTGGGCAGTGGTGGAGTATGCCTTTAATCCCAGCAGTCAGGAGGCAGAGGCAGGAGGATCTCAGTGAGCTCCAGGCTGGATTGGTCTACAAAGCAAGTTCCAGGACAGTCAGGACTGTTACACAGAGAAACCAACCCTGTTTCAGGGGGTGGAAAAAAAAGGATGTAACCTCAACAGACTGAACCCAAAATACATTTAAATATGGATTTATTATTTATTAATGATTCTCTTGGTATGGGTTCTCGAGTTCTGAGAAAGCAAAAAAAGCTCACAGTTCTATTTTCAAAAATCAGAATTTCTATTGATTTCTGTTCCCATCTGCTGTGTTTTCTGTTAACAAATGTTGATTCTCAGTATGAGGGGTTTTTCTTGGGCAAAACAATTCTCTCAGGATTTGTTGCTAGCCATTGCAATGGGCAAATTCTGGTTCTCTGTCCTGCGTCTCTCACTCTGTTGTGGCTCACATCAGAATTGAGAGGTTTCAGCTCAAGTATAGTTGGAGCTGAGGTGCATGCAGGTAATAGAGGTTGGTAGGAGAAGAGCAGGAATACTTTGAAAATGCCCTTGTCATAGAAGTTTCAGACTTAGATGGTATTTGGAATTCATCTTAGGTGAGCTGATAGACCATGTGGGTACTGTTGGGGTCTAGTAGCTCAGCAGGTGATAGAATCTAATCTTCACTAAGTTCTGATGCTTGAATTTGGCCTGTGCCTCTGCTGCATTCAGCCTTATTGTGCAGCCAGACACCAGGGGAGGAGAGGCTCTGCATCAAAACAAATCTATTCCCTTTCCCAGAAAACGGATTTTAGTTTCTTGTAGGAGCAAAGTGACAACAGCAACATTCTTGGTACAGAAGCTAGCCCACTGTGAATGAATTACATGTTGATGAATAGTCGTGCTTGTGTGCGAGTTTCTCCTTGTCCTAAGTGTCTTTTAATCACTGGTTTGCTTTCAGACGGCTGCCTTGAACTTGCTGTGGGAGAAGTGCTGCAGTGACAATGTGGTGGTTCGAACAGCCTGCTGCGAGGGTCTGGTGGCCCTTGTTGCTCAGGGTCATGCAGAGTTCAGCTATGTTCTCAATGGGATACTCAACTTGATTCCTTCCACCAGGTACACTTGCTGTCATGCTTGATTAAAGGTTTAAGCTTTTAGAAACACAATTCACTGATTCCCTGCTGAGGATCCAGAATTCGTACTGCAATAATGAATTGACTTATTTTAAGAAGGAAACTTGCCATAAGCATTTCTACTTGCACAGTGACACAGTTTTTATGTTGTATTAGCTATCTGTAGTCAGCCTTTGGCACCAGTAATATGTATTAGGAAATTATAACTTGAGATTCTCTTAAATATTTGATGACATAGGAATGTGTCTTCTGCGTATTCTTGGGGAGCAAGTTCTTTGAACTTGTTTTGATAGCCATATTTAGTCCATTCACAAACAGAAGGTAATAGAATGGCAGAAGGCAGCAGAAACATGCTCCTTTCCACGATGGTCAGACAGGAAGGTGTTTGAAGAGGGAGAACCTGTAAACTCTTCCCTGGGAGTTGAGAGCTGGGGTGTGGCTCTGTGATACATGTTATCTAGGATGCTTGAGGTTCTGGCTTCTATCACCAGCTCTGCCAACAAAAGAAAACAAACAAAAAATTCAAAATAAAAGTACCAAAACCCAGCTCCCTGAAAAGGAATGGCCATTCTTTGCTTGGAGAAATGGTGTTCTGGAAAAGAATGTTAACATTTCATGAACTTCCTTGTGTGGCTTCCAGTCACCAGGATCCAGGACCCCCGAGTACTTAGTCTTTTCCTTTGTTCGTCTGCTGAAGGATTTGGCCTTCATGATGACAAGGGAACCTTCCCTTCTCCAAAACTTAGTTGTAACTCAGTCTCACTACGTCAATGATGGGACAGCTCCTCTCCTTTTTGGGGGGCATTCTGCTCACTGATCAGTGTCCACAATTTGCCCAGGCTGACAGTGGGCAGAAGCTCTGGTTCATTTTTAAATGGCAGTTTCTCATACCAACTTTCCCAAAGTAGCCTGGATGATGATGCAGCCATGGATGTAGCTCAGGTGCATCTGGAGTGTCCCAGTCTTCCTTGCTCATTCTCATGCCCCCCCCCCATTTTTATTGCCAAGACATAATTCGGAGTACTTAAGCTTTTTTATGTCTTCAGACAAGCTGTGGCTATCTGTGTAGAATCCTCTGGGTTGGAGTCTGTCAGTCTTCATTGCCTCTATTCTCTTAACATTTCTTTATAAATCCTATTCTGTTCCCTCTGGTCTGGTCAGCTCTTTGTACATTATTTGATTATTGGCTTTCTTTTATATCTTTAAGCTTAAACCCTGTAACATGGTGTATAAGTCTTCTCAAACTAGCGCTGGCCTCCCATTTATGCTGTGTTTCTTCCCATGACCCTCTACTTGGATATAATGCAAATGTTCACCTCTGTATGAGGTGAGTGATTCTTCTCCTCCTCTGCTGTCACCTTCATTGTCCTTCAAGAAACAGCCTAGATTCTTATGCCTTTTCAGCTGAGTGGCTTGCTCATTCATGCTATTTTGATCTGTTTTTAAGTATCTCACAAACTCCTTGAACTTAAAAGGTGACTGGTTTTGAAAAAAGTAAGGATTGTATCATCACTAAAGTGTATTCATTTTCTCTCTATTTCTACACACACACACACACACACACACACACACACACACCTCACACATACTCGTGCACACATACAGAGCTAGAGCAAGAGTGAGAGAATATGAAGAATTTTAGAAGTGGTTTTGAGGATCCATTAAGAAGTCACTCTGAGGAGAAATTTTGAAAGTAAAGATTTTTATATGTCTTTCTTACTCATTAATTGACTTTAAGTAAGCCACATAGATTTCGTTTTACTCCTGTTCTTTATCAGGTACCAATAATGGAGTTCATTCTCTGTTCTGTCTCACATAGTTTTCAAATGCTTTTAAATCTCTAAGTATATAATATACTTGCATTGTGAGTTATTTGCTTGGGATAATGAGATGGCTCAGTGGGTAAAAATACTTGTCACTAACCAGGAGGACTGATGGTGAAAGGAGAGAACCGACTCCCACAGATTGTCCTCTTGCATGCTGTAGTATGTGTGCCTATACACATACAAAAAATGGAGTTGTATTTCTTATATTAGGGTATTAGCAACCAAGAGGATCAGACAGTGTCTTTGTGTATTTAAATAGCAGTTAGAGCTGGAGAAATGGCTCAGTGATTATGAATACTTGTGGTTCTTTTGGTTTTTCAAGACAGGGTTTCTTTGTGACTTTGGAGGCTGTCCTGGAACTAGCTCTTGTAGATCAGGCTAGTCTTGAACTCACAGAGATCTGCCTGCTGAGATTGTGGGCCACCACCGCCCAGCTACTTGTGGTTCTTATAGAGGACCTAGGTTTGGTTCCCAAGCACCCATATGGTAGCTCACAACCAAACTTAGGCACATGTGTAATGCATATACATACATACAGGCAGATACTCATGTACATAAAATAAGTTCTAAACAAAACAAAACAGCAGTTAGAGCAGGTTTGAGTATTCACCTCTAATTCTAGAGAATTAGCTGAGAAAATTATGCTGGCATGGTATATTAATCACATGTTAGTATAAATCCTCAATCACTATTATAAACCATAAAGTATAGCATCACTAGTGGTGAGTATGTTTGCCATCTGTTTATAATTGCCAATAACATTATTTTTTAAAAGTTCAAATGTGTTTTAGACTAGATATAGCATTTTATATGGACTTCGGAGGCAATGTTTCTGGTTCTTCTTGTTCTTTGTTTTTCTCTGTAGTAGCAGACTGGTACTGGATCTTGTGAGTGTGTGTGTGTGTGTGTGTGTGTGTGTGTGTGTGTGTGTGTGTGTGTTTGTGTGGTGTGTGTCTGTATTATAATATTATATATCACATTATAACGTATATAATTTATACACAGTAGCTATTGACTGTTAAAATAACTGATAAGAGAGATGTAAATGTATATAGTAAAAATTTACATGTACAAAACCATAAGCCATATGTACTTATGTAATATAAAATATTCTTTTAAAAATATAGATCCATTGTTATTTTAGATATTTTTGTTTGTTTTTTGAGACAGGGTTTCTTTGTGTAGCCTTAGCTGTCCTGGAACTTGCTCTGTAGATTAGGATGACCTCAAACTCATAGAGATCCACACTCCTCTGACTTCCAAGGAGTGCTGGGGTTAAAGGTGTCTGCCACATCACCTGGCTGTCATTTTAAATCTTTTATAAACCATTTTTATATTATTATTTTATGTGTATGTGTGTTTTGCCTGCATGTATGACTGAGTACTATGTGAATTCCTGGTATTCATGGAGGCCAGAGGAGTACATTGGATTCCTGGGACTAGAATTCTAGATGGTTGTGAGCCATCATGTGGGTTCTGGGAATGCAACCTGGGTCCTCTGGAGGAGCAGCTAGTACTCTTAACCACTGAGCTATCTCCCCAGCCCCCACAAAATATTCTTGATGCTAAAATTTTTGGTGAAAAAAATCTATCTTGGAACTTATTCCGTAAATACTAGACTTTTTATGATGTTTTTCTAGCTACATAATATTCCATTGTATGGAAAAAATAATAATTTACCATTTTTCAATTTTACAGTCTTTGCAGTTCTTCAGTGACTGTTCTTTTAAAGATTTTACTTATTTATCATGCATACAACATTCTACTTCCATGTATATCTGCACACCAGAAGAGGGCACCAGATCTCATAACAGATGGTTGTGAGCCACCATGTGGTTGCTGGGAATTGAACTCAGGACCTCTGGAAGAGCAGTCGGTGCTCTTAACCTCTGAGCCATCTCTCCAGCCCTCAGTGACTGTTCTTTAAAATAATATTTGAGCCGGGCGGTGGTGGCGCATGCCTTTTATCCCAGTGCTCGGGAGGCAGAGGCAGGGGGATTTCTGTGAGGTTGAGACCAGCCCGGTCTACAAGAGCTAGTTCCAGGGCAGGCTCCAAAGCCACAGAGAAACCCTGTCTCGAAAAAAAAAAACAAAAACAAAAACAAAAACAAAAAAATTTGGAACTAAATTTATTCTTTGAGAATTTTGTGCAATATATTTTGATCATATTCACGCCCTCATCTCCTCCAAGATTTATTCCTACCTCCCTACTTACTCAACTTTGTATCCTCCTTTTTTCTTTTAACCCACTGAGGTTATTCCCTAGAGGAAGATCAACCAGCCAGAGTTTACAGCCTTAAAGAAAATTGACTTTTCCTCTTTCAGCAACTATCAGTTGCCAATAGTTCCTCGGATGGGGTGGGGCTTTGTGTCCACATTCCCTCTCCTTGCTAGGATTTTTGTGAGACTACTTTCACACTCACTGTGAGTTCATATGTGCAATTGCCCTGTTGTATTAGGAAAATATTGTTTCATTGTAGTCATCTACTGCCTTTCTACTCCCTCTTCCTTTGTGATTCTGAGCCTTGCGAGCACGGGGTGTGATATAGACATAATATCATTTAGGTCTGAGAACTCTGCAGTCTCCTATTCTCTTCATGTTGACCAGTTATGTCTCTGTGTTAGTAGCTGTCTACTTCAAGAAGTTCCTCTGGTGAGCATTAAAATGCAATTATCTATGGGTATAGTGATAGGTTGTTAGGAGTTGATTTAATACTCTGACCATTTAGCAGAATAATAGTAGTAGTTTTTCACCTAGGGCCTGTGATCTATTAGGCACAGGTTCTTAGCCCAATGATGGTGCTGGATATAGCTTCTGTCTCATGAATCAGGCCTTAAATCTAATGAGAATGTGTTTGGTTATCCCAATAACATTCATGCCATTATTGTTCCAGTGGTCATATCTTTCTAGGCAGGTGATTCTTGTAGCACTCAGGATTCACAGCTGGCCAAGACACTGGTCATCCCTCTACCTCAACCTGGTAGTGTTCATAGCACCTTTCAGCACTGTGAAAGCTAGGCTGGAGGGATGAAATTTCTAGGTCATTATATGCTTGTTTTCTTCATGTTCTATGTCTCATGTCCTGTAGGATTACCAACAGCAGTGGCAGTAACCTGTCATGTTTTTTGGGGGAGTATGGGACCCCATTGGCTAACT